TTTCAATTCTGGAATTAACCTCACTGTTAATAGGGCCACCATCATTAAAGAAAGCATTTCCATGCTCAGCTTTAGGTGTTCGGCCTCTCTTTTACATCGAAGCGAGCATGTGGTCGCAATACCAGTATACTTTGTCACACTGGTGAGAGTTCGTTCACATTAGCTTAAGCTATATGGGATGTGCAAAATACCATAGGTGTTTGCTCTTGTTTTTACTGCATTAAACTACCCCTAAGCATTGGGTGAATGGAAACCCATGCTTGGATGTCTGCCTGCTGCTCTCTGCTGGGTTTGGAGAATCCCTAATTCCCCCCCTGCAAAGGCCCTGGGACCTGCAAGTGTGGGAGTTACCTTGGAAAATTAAACCACCAGCCACTTGGAGCAACAAGGTACAGGTGAAGTCCTTTCTCATAGAGGATGTTTTACCTCCTGCAGCAGATTACAAATACCTAACCTGGGGGTTGCTCACCGACTTGCATTGAAGGTCTGGCCTGATCTGTGCTCAGGCGGAAAGCAATTCTGAGGAGCAGGTGTTTGTGAGTGTTGCTGGGCTCTGTTGAGAGGGGATTGTGTAGCTTTTGTGCTTGCTTTTGATGAAGATATCCCTGATTATAGAACTGATGAGAGCGCAAGAACGATGTGATGTTGGGCAGAGGCAGTTTTTAAGAGTGGCACTGTGGCCCCAGGCTATGGAGGGGAACCCACGAAACCAAAGTTGGGTCTGGAGCATGTCGTCCTTTCATTTATCTCCACGATCTCTGTCCTATTTAATTCTAGCCCTTACTGGTTTAGTAAGGTCTTTTACTTTCCCCCAAACCAGTTTGCAGCTGCATTTTCCATTAAGACCTGGGCTCTTACTGGAGGCCAGTAACAGGGCAGCATTAGCACCCGCTGACCCAGCCAGCTCCTGGGTTCTGATGTTCAGGAGGTGATGCTGTTGAATTTGTAGAGCAACTGCATCGTAGATCAGAAATTGTGTCGCTCAGTCCTGCTCCCAACGCTGCTACACGTGGGCTGGAGACGGGGGGAGATGCTGTTAATCCTCAGCTTTCCAGTTGTGCAAGTGAAAAGGTGAGCGTATTCAAGAGGGGACGTATTTGAAACTGCAGAGTGTGAAGTGGGGCAATTTCTCCCAACTTGTGCCTGTTTGGGAATGGGGGTGATGGGGCTTGGGGTGGAGGGAAACATTTTGCCGAGCTACAAGATACTAAAGTGAGATTTACAAATACCTTAGATCATGACATTTTTACTTGAACTCTTGGAAGTTTTGGGGTTTTTTTAATGGTATGAGCTGTTAGTTTTCTGTTGGCAAGAACTGAAGGCATCTGGCACTTGTGTGGGGTAGGTGGTCGAACTTTCCCTTGTCAGATTGAACTTTAAAACCTCTTCTAAACTAAACATTGCTTTTTTTCTGCTCTTTGCTTAACCTTCTGCAGCTGGTCATCAGCCTTTGGCCTCCGCATCCTACTCCCCTCCCACCCTCCCCTGCTTTCGTCTCAGCTCTGCTTGAGCCTCAGCTCTGCTTGAGCACGGAAATCTAGTGGGGAAACTGCTTTGGACTGGTTTGGGCTCAAGCAAGAGTGCCTGTCCTCTTAACGATTTGCATTTACATCCTAAAAGCAGAAGGCTGGAGGTACAGGGGCAGGTAAGAGAAACCGCTTCCACTAATATTTCATCGTTAATTAACTCCTTGTCACAGGCTCATTTCCCTTTGTAGGAGCCTATGAATTTTAGTTGCTCCCAGAGTGTTTTTTCGCTCTGGGCATGGGCCCGAGGAGCCATTTCGAGAGGGCCCTCCCATCCAAGCTTTCTTGAAGGCTCGCTTCTGTACAGCTCACTGATGGAACATGCTTGACTTTTATCCCCGACCTGTAGTAATGCTTCATGGTGTGGAGAGCAATTCATAAGGTCAGGTTGTCCTGAGTCATCACTGATCTCTTGCCCGGCTGTAAAAGAGCACTGCTGGTCTGCTTTGTGCTCCGTTTTGGGGTGTGGGGGACAGGGAAGGCTTTTCTTCTTAAGAACCTAAGTCAATCTCAAAATGGTTTGAGCTACTTAACATTTGCTGGGCTCTTTAGCACACTGCATGGGTGCTGTGGGACGTTCACGCCGCCGTGGGTAGCACCGGTAGGGTGGTTGCTGGAGGACAAGCTGTGGGTCTGCAAGCCCAGTTAGTCGTCCTTCCATGCAGCGATGAGAAACTGGGATGGAAATGTCCTGCGCTGGCTGGAGCCCAGCTGTGTTGCACAGCAGGCGTGGGATGGGGGGGAGTTTCTTACACTTGCCCAGAGCCTTCTGATTTTGAGCTGAATCAGCAACTTGTTTCTTGGCTTTCTACACTTCTTCACAGGGGTGAAGCAGAGGAAAAGAGCCCTTCCTAATTTTTACATTCTTCCTTGCCAGTAACCCCTTTCAGGTGGTGATGTTGCGGTAATACTTTTGGGATCCTTGCAGGATGGAAGCAGTTGACATATGGAGTGCGTGGTAGTGCTGCAGGGGAAAAGGGAGTGTCAAAGAGCTGTGGAGGGAGGAGGAGTGTTTTTCAGCCGAGTGCTACGGTGAAGAGCTGGCCTAAGAAATAGCAAGGGCTTTTGCTCTGAAGGGCAGCTGTCCCCTCTCAGGGTGGTAGTTTGCCACAAGTCTCACATCTCCCCTCTTGCAGGAAATGCTGTGTACTTAGATTGGGATGTCAGGGGCTGAGCTGGCCTGATAAATTTGATTTAAGGCATTAGCATGAAGTTCTGTATCTCCTCTAAGTTCATGAAGTCAGGACTGTGAAGTAGAAACAGGGAGTGTTTCCCATCTGATCAGGACAGGATGAAGATGAGGTGCTTTCCCCACTCTTGTGGGTTTTAAATGTGAGATTAGCAGCACTTTGTGTGATGGCAGACATCACGATCTGCCTTTATCTTGACAGAAGCAGGTAGTTGTGCTTGTACAGGCAGGTCAGCACATGCTTGTGGACATGCCTTTCCTTGGAGGTGAGCGGAGTGACAGGGCAGGGACTGCAGCAAGGCTGTCCTTTCTGCGGTGGGACCGGCTGCAAGACATGGGTGCTGCTGGAGCCAGGGATAATTAAGCGTGGGTGAGGGAGAGCTGCTGGCAGGCAGCGAAGGGCCGGTCCTGGCCCTGGGGCTGCGGAGCACAGAAGTGGGCTTATTGCTGGCTGATTTTTTTCCTGTAGGAGGGAAAGGTTCAGAAGAGCAGTGCTTCCTGGAGTACTTCCAATTGTCTGAACAGTTTTCCTTTCTCTTGCACTCCTGCCCTGGGTGTTGTTTTTTGTTTCTGTATTTGGTTGACCTCCCTACCCTTTTAGATTTTTTTTTTTTTTGCCCTTTGTGGTGTTGCATCTATCGTAAACCTTTTGAAAGATAATCTGTTTGTGGTTACCAGAAAGAGCGGTGGCCGTGGCCTGAGCAAGTACATCTTGTTTTACATGTTTTCTCGCAATACTTGTTGCTATGCTATTCGTTAGAGAGGACCCCTTAGGGCTCAATACGGTCTTGGTGCCAAATGAGGTAATTTCTGCTTTTGCGGAGGAACTGGAGCTGAGATGAAGTCATTGCCCAAGAGCCCGGGGAGGAGGTTGTGAAAGAACCCAGAGGTCTTCTGCATCCCACATCGGCCCTTGAGCCGCTCCCGTTTTCCTCCCCCCAGGTGCTGGCCCACCAGCGCTGGCAAGACCACAGGCACGGAGCTCAGCAGCGCTGAATGCAGCTGATCTTTAATTCAGTTACTCAGGAGGCAGTGCTTGGCAGTGGTTACGTGGGGGCAGACAGAGACCTTCCCAAGTTAGACTTCTCTGAAAAAGTCTTCCATGGCGAGCAAGTCCTGGGCGGGCTGCCAGCCCTTTCCAGTAGTTGTTTCCCGAGCTGTTGTGACTGCGGTCCGTGAGCTTCCTCCCACGGGGTATGTGAACAAACCCAACACGGAGTCACGTAAAGGGCATCTCGAGACTGCAGCGCACGGGAAATTTTGTGTGCCACTTAATCAGCCCTAGGATGGCTGATGAGGCCTTGCTGCCAGAGCTGATGGGGTGTGCAGATCCCCTGCTTCAGCAAAGGTGGAAAATATAAATTATCTCTGCCTTGCTGGGAGATTTTCAGAGACATGCTTTTGCTGGAACATGGTTCTTAACATTAGCCTACCCTCCTCAGGTACCAGGCACAGTCAGTTTGCATTGAGGCGTTGTGAACTTTGGACGGGAATAGCTGCGATGCACCAGCTACACCATATACGCTTATAAAATACACTTTTTAGGGATTAAAAATGCTCGATGCATGGAGGGACCAACTCCCCTGGAGACCTCTTCCTTATCACCTCCCTTCTCTGCTGTAGCATTTCCTGCATCAGTAACTTAAATAGCGTAGAGCTGAGGAGAGCCTGAAAGCACAGGCAGTAATGGAGGGGGACAGAGGAGCTCAGGTGAAGGGACAAAAGAGACCAGGAAAACTAGGGAGATTCCCCCAGCGAAAAGGGGAAGGAAACAGTTAAAGACATTTTGTCTAAGACAACTGGTCTGTGGAGCTCAGGGTACCTGGGGGCTCTCCCCATGAGGAAGAGGGGTAGGATCTGCATGGAATGATAAATGCACCTGGATTGCAGATCGGGGCAGCCGGGTGGCTTCGGTGGCTCTGTGCTGGCTCCTGTCGCAGGCAGGCCTGGGGAAACGCCGCACAGGCAGGGTCCTTTCGCTGGCCGATGGGGCGGACTCAGAAGTTCAGTCCATACGTTTTTGTACAAACTTGTCAGAGTTGAGTCTGCTCCTTAAAAAGAGGGCACCCAGGGCTCCAGGAAAGCAGAGTGCGTGGTTTCTAAAAGCAGTGTGCGCTCAGAGGCACGCTTGTCCTACTGGTACTGTCTGTCCCTGCAGCTGCGGGACAAAAGGACAACTGGAGAAGACCGTGGGGCTCCTGTCACTCTGATGTTGGCTGCGGCAGCAGCGTGGGTTTTCTGGGCAGGCGAGTGTGTATAAGCTCTCTCTTTCTGGTTCCAGGACAATGCATCTTTTTGTGGTGTGTCTCATCAGTGTCTGGGGTCTGGCTGCCCCTGAGCACTACGTCGTGGAAGACGTCTGCACTGCAAAGCCACGTGACATCCCGGTGAATCCCATCTGCATCTATCGCAACCCTGAGAAGAAGCCCCAGGAGGGCGAGGGGCAAGAGCCAGGGAAGGGCAAGCTCCCGGAGTCTACTAACCCCCGGGTCTGGGAGCTGTCGAAGGCCAACTCACGCTTTGCTGTTGTCTTCTACAAGTACCTGGCTGACTCCAAGGACAATAGGGAAAACATCTTCATGTCACCCCTCAGCATTTCTACAGCCTTCGCCATGACCAAGCTCGGAGCTTGTGGTAGCACCCTCCAGCAGCTCATGGAGGTCGGTGGCATTTCCTCAGCCTTTTCCTGTAGCTGTCACCAGGGTCTGAAAGACAGCAAAGGTGATAGTGGCTGACTGCCACGAAAGGGCTCTCTGGGGCAGGATGGCTCCCTAGCTTGGGGAAGGGAGACCTTTATTTAAACGAGCCCCTGGGAAGGACATACAGAGGCTGCTTGTCTCTGGATTTGTTTAGATCCCAGCTCTTTCCTCTGACTCCCTGTTTAGATCCAGCATTCAGGGTGGATTTCCTGGGTTTAAGAAGTTAGTTTTCATCTGGAGGAAAGGAATCCCATTTGGGAGATGGGGGAAGGGAATGGGAACGGTTTGTTTCTTGCAGGTTGGGCAAGCAGGTAGCTGAGCAGGTAGCTAAGCCTTTTCTTACGCAAAAAGCAGGAAAAGCCATGATATCAAGTCCCATTGGGAGAGGCTCTTTTTCACATTCCCTCTCTCTCCCTTGGGACAAAAATAAGACACATGGGACACCCTGCAGTCCACCTGGCTTCCAGGGCTCTGTCACCCTACGGGAGCACAGGAACATCAGTTGCTTCTTGAGGGCCTCCTTGTAGTAAGTGTAAGAGCAGTCTGAGCGCTCAGCCAGGACTAAGCAGCTTCTGTCTGCTTGTGTTGGGCAGTATTACAGAGCACAGTCGGGGCCTGAGCTTCCCAGGCAGGGGAGCCTGTAGGCAGGGAGCTTCTCCCTCCGGCCGTGGCTCCTAAACTCGGAGCAGGGAGCTCTGGTCCTGCACTGAGAGGTAATCCTGAGTTCTGGCTCTTCCGTGGGGCAAATTAACTCCCTGCCTGTCCAAGCACCCTTCTTGCTGACAGCACTCGTCTGCCGTCTGGGGTTTGGTACTGCCCGTACCTTCCTCACAGATGGGACGCTGCAGCCCAGAGGGGCCTTTCTCCCTACAACGAGGTGGTAGAAATCAAACTGCTCCACTTGTCCCCAGTGCCGCTGTCCTTACAGATCCTGCCTCTGGAGTAAGTCACGTTGAGGTCTCCTGCCATTATCCACACAGTCTGGGCAGAGCAGTGAACCACATCTCCAAAATCTTCACTCATGCCTTCCCCTCTGGGCAGCCCTTCCCACTGGAAGGGGAACCTTCTCTCGCTGAGCCACCCAGGATGCAGAGCTGCACTCCTCAACTCCCCTTTCCCATACAAAAGGGCCAGTAACACCACCTTTGCCTCGTAGGAAACGGTGCCAGAGATCCTGGATGTTCGTGTGGAGCAATGTGCTATGGGATTTTCTGTGCCTTAAAGCCCTGAGGTTGGATAGTAGTAGACAAATCGTAAAAATCGTAACTGTCCTTCCAGCTGGCAGCTAGGAGCAGATAAGAAAGAAAGTCACTGTGCTGCAGAAATCTACCCTCAAAACAATTGCTACATATTCCCATTCCCTGCAAAAATAGATAACATGTACCAGAATTACTCAACAGGCTGTGAGAATTGCTCCCGGGAAGGAGCAGCCTTTGGCATCACCGCAGGAGGGTTTAACGCAAAGCTTGAGTCCTCCTGTGACCTGCACTGACCCGAGAGCTGCTTCCCATCAGGGCGATGCTCATCTCGCCTGAGGCTCTCGCTGGGGTGCGGTAGAGGGTTTGTGAACACTCTGCGTAAACTATGTTAATTTTAACAGCGCTGGGGAAAGCCTCGTTGTTCATATGCCGAGCTAGAATCTGTTCCCTGACAGGGGTCAGAGTGCTAGTGATGTGTTGCTTTTACGTAGATTTGGGTTCCAAATTAAATGTGGAGGGTGAAGCTCTGAGGGCCTGCAAATTTCTTGGCTCCCTGATTTAGGCTGTTGAGCCGCAGGCAAAGGCTGCATCGCCACTTGCTGTGGGGCCTGGGAGTTGTGGGAGCGCAAGAACCTGCTCATGGATTCCTTCTCGCTGTTTGGCTCTTCCAGGTCTTTCGATTTGACACCATTTCGGAGAAGACATCTGATCAGATCCACTTCTTCTTTGCCAAGCTGAACTGCCGGCTTTACAAGAAAGCCAACAAATCCTCAGAGCTGGTATCAGCCAACCGCCTCTTCGGGGAGAAATCTTTGGTCTTTAATGAGACTTACCAGAACATTAGTGAAATAGTTTATGGAGCGAAACTCTGGCCCTTGAACTTCAAAGTGAGTTTGAACTGCTCGGGATTTTTCTTTTTTGTTTGGTTTTTCCACCCCCATCCTTCTGCTTTTGCTACATCCCTATCTTTTGCCCGCAGGGAGTGCCCTGCTCTGGGCGCGTGGGACATCAGCGAAGGCAGGAGTATGGGATGCAGCTCCTCCTGTCCCAGCTCACTTAAGCACCGTCACTTCCCAGCTGCTCATTTCTAAATGCTGCAGCACTATGCTGGGAGAAGTGTCCTCCCCGAGCACACACCCTGTTAATCTGTCTCCTGCAGAAGGGATAAAAAGAGGTGTTTAAAACCCTTGACTTAACCTTTTTTGGTCTCTTCCTTCAGGAGAAACCAGAACTTTCCAGGAAGATCATTAATGAGTGGGTGGCTAATAAGACAGAGAAGCGCATTACAGAAGTGATCCCAGAAAGAGGAATCGATGATCTCACTGTCTTGGTCCTGGTCAACACCATTTATTTTAAGGTATGGCTAACAAAGCTGGGGGAGCAGCCCATTTCCCTGGGGTCGACGCTCATATTTGTCTCTGTCCTCCCCCTCTCCCTTTTAGGGGCACTGGAAATCGCAGTTCCCAGCTCCAAACACAAAACTGGATTTATTTCATAAAGCCAATGGTGAGACCTGCAAAGTCCCAACTATGTACCAAGAGTCCAAATTCCATTATGCGTCCATCCCCCAGGACAAAGTCCAGGTGCTGGAGCTGCCATACAAAGGGGACGATATCACGATGGTGCTGGTCCTGCCCAATGCTGGGATGTCATTGGTGGAGGTGGAGCGAGACCTGACATCGGAGAAGCTGCAGGACTGGATAGACTCCATGACGGAGGTCTCTCTCTTCGTCTACCTCCCTCGCTTCCGCGTCGAGGACAGCTTCAGTGTCAAGGAAAAGCTGAGAAAAATGGGGCTAGAAGATCTCTTCAGTCCAGAAAATGCCAGACTTCCAGGTCAGATGTGGAGACGGGTGCAGGGTGGAGGTGGGGGTAACCATTCCTCCACAGGCACCAGGGCAGTAAGTGCAGCAGCACGTGAGGAACAAGAATGTGAAAGCGTTTAGATGTTGCTGCAATGATGGACTCTGTGGTCGAGTCCCACCATGGGGACACAGCCCTGCTCTGCACTAAGGACATGGGAGTTAAGCAATCAATTGCAATTGGTGGAGGATATTTTTGGTTTAGGGCAGACATGCTTTCTGCTTGAACACAGGCCATGAAGGATGGACGTGTGTTCTCTCTTGAGCTGTTGTCTAAAAACATAGTTTTAACTTTCTCCATTTTGTATTTCAGGTATCATTGCAGAGGGCCGTACAGACCTGTACGTATCTGAGGCTTTCCACAAAGCCTTCCTTGAGGTAAGCCTTGTTTTGTCCCAGGGGTGTCGTCCTCTTTGTTTTTAAAAACATGAAGCATTAAAAGAAAAAAACAGCTCTGAGCCCATGGTGTTCACTTCCACAGCGATCTGGGGCTTTGGTGGGAGGTGGGAGCTTGGCACCTACCTCCCATGGGGAAGGAGGCAGAGCCCTCAACATACTGCATAATGCCCGTATTTTAATCCCATCTTCTCTTTTGGTTGGTAGGTGAATGAAGAAGGCAGCGAGGCATCAGCTGCTACAGCTGTCACCGTCTCCGGCCGTTCCTTCCCCATGAACAGAATAATCTTCAATGCCAACAGGCCCTTCCTGCTTTTCATCCGGGAAGCCGCCCTCAACACCATTATCTTCATGGGCAGAATAGCTGATCCTTGCTCCTAAAGGGGCTGTCAGGGCCTCGCTTCTCCCTTCTCTGCCTCCGGAGAAGGGGCAATAGGGTATTGCCACAAAGCCCGGGCTGCTCCTGGGGTGGTTGGTCTTACTGTTTGGTGCAAGCTGCAGGGAGGGACTGTATCCAGCTGGGCTGTTACCGCTCCTCCTTGCTGCGTCAGGTGAGGGGGCTCGGAGGGCACCTCACCTCCTCCATCCTTCATTCAAAGGGAAGTGGAATTTTTTCCGGCACCGGTATTTTTGTGGCACCCAAAACTTGAGTCCAGCATTGCTGTCGTTCTTATATCCAACCCTCCTCCCTTTCAGGCCTCAAACTGTAACTCTGATTCCCCTGGTACATTAAAAACCTATAGATCTGTATGTAACACACTGATCTCTGAATGGACAGTTTTCACTAAGTCACTTCCTAGACTTAAACTTTCATTTTTCAACAAACGGGCCTTTCCCTGCACGCCCCAGACAACCCCACGCTGGAGAGGTCAGTGGAACAGCAGCAGCCAAATGGCAGGTGCTGGCTGGGCCAGAAACATCCTTCCCCAGCCCTGCGTGGAACAGCTGGTGGGTGGCAGAGCTGCCAAACGCCGGAGCCCTCCTTGCCAACAGCTCTGGCGTGTCCGACATGGCCAGGCGCTGAGCAGTCACTAGTGAAAGCCTTGCAAGGCTGTGAATTTTTCTTGGAGCGGTAAGATTTAAACCAGCTCCATGCTAAATGTTAAAAGTGGGGGCATCTGTGCATCACGATAATGCCCAGGTAAAGTAACCACTATCCATAACTCCATTAAAAATCTGTTATTTCACCTGCAAGTTTACTCCTAGAGCTGAGATGTCCTGGCCTGCTGCCATGTTACATGTGTGATCTGACCCCTCGTCCACCCCAGGTGGCCATGCTGCTGTAGGACCTCTGACAGGGTTGTCTTCAAGATGCAGAAGAATATGTGGTGAGCTTTCCTCTGAGATTTCTGCATTGAGGGCAGCTGTTTAAAACAAAAAGGGCAGTGAAGGCGCAATCCTGTCCTGTCATCAGTATGTTACAGAAGCGTTGTGTGCAGACAGCAGCTAAAGCACCAGTAGATGGCACTCCCCAGCGTGCGATTTACTCTGGATTTTGTAGAACCAGTGAAACATCTGCTTTTATAGCAGCAATTGCCACAGCAATGAGGGAGTTAACTTAGGTGTGCCAGTCTGTGGAAGAGCTGGTGTGAGAAGGTGTTTGGTCATGTCTGGGAAGGTCTCTAGTTTTGGAAGGTTTTGTAGCCCTCTCTTTTATTCTCCATCTGTGTTTGTGTTGCAAGTAGTGCGCGGGACAGGGAGAGTCACCTCCCCTGTTGTACCACGGGGCTGTAGCGATCAGTCCCCTACACGCAGAATAGACCTGTAAAGCACCCACCCTTTTTGTGCTGACATGCTTGCTGAGAGTAATACCTCTAACAGAAGCTGTATGTAGCTACTTTAATGCAGAAGCTGGGGCCCTGGAAGAAAAGGGGGAGCGTTTTGGAAATCATTAAAAGCAGCTCTTCCTCTCCCTGTCCTACTCTGGCACTCACCGCTGTGTCTTTTCTTGCTGCATCCTGTCTTCTGCTTGCTACCTCTGTGCAGCTCCAGAAACACACCCTCTCCTCCTGTCACCTCTGCCTTTGCGGTTGTGCTCCCGGCTGCGGAGGTGGAGGCTGGCGAAAGAGGAGGGCTGAGGAAATGCCTGGCTCTCCCTAGCATGGCGCGGAACCAAAGTGCTTCCCCTGCCATCGGCAGCCGGGAAAGCCCTCTTGCTGCAACAGGAGTCGGGCGCTTGGCCTGCAGCAAGAGCATGGCGCTTTCTCTACCCCGTGAGACCAAAAGGGGCTGAGCCTGCAGAAGTGATGAGACAAAACTCGTAAAGAAAGGACAGAAGTCATCCAAGATGCCAGGAAAAGCAGCCTGGCCCAGCCCAGCCTCTCCCAGGTTGCTAAGCTTAGGGCAGCACGGAGCCGTGTAAAGCAGGGACCAGGCTCTCGCACCACGGCTGATTTGAAGCGGGCAGCGAAGAGAAAATCAACGTCAGATCAGACCAGTCAGCTACAAGACACAGACGAGGATCTGAGTATTAAACCATTTAATTCTCAAACCACTCACATGCATAATGTTCTTTTACACAGTGTTAAAAGAAAGAAGAAAATGCGATTTGTTTTTTTTTTAATACAAACAGAATTTCAAGTATACATTTATAGAATTTTCAAAGATTCCTACCCAAGTTGCTAAGTTTTCATTCACATTGTTCTTAAAGCTGTCCAACGAGAGCGCTTTTTTGCTAAACTGCTTTCAATGCAATTGTACAGTCCCCTCTACCTTGGTTTTATTTCCCCCTTCCCCAGCTCCGGTTCTCTTACCAGCCTTGCCTGCCCCCCCTCCAGCAGCACTGGCCGTCCCCGTGCGCCATCGGCCCCTCCAAAGAGTTTCTATCTGCCAGCTCCCACTGGAAGAGGAAAAGGAAAGCGACGGTAGAGGACCGGCTTGGGAACAGCTTGTAAAATCATTGAAGAACAGTCTGATATCCACAAGTTACACACAGCAGGCTCACACTTCAACCTACTGCAGACTAGTGTGAACACTGACTTTTTTTTTTTCTTGAAATAAGGATTGCAACCAAAAATAAAATTAAAAAAAAAGAATTATTAGTACAGCAGGAAATTTCTTAACTGTGAAAGTAAGTCTTGAGTGTTAGGACACCTGTCCTAAAAAGTTTAATTTATAGGTCAACAGTTGAAGGTGACAGCACAATTTTTCTTACAAAGGGTTACTCTGCAAACCAGCTCAGAGCAGAATCAATATAGGGTTGCTCAGCCCCTCCCCCAGTCCCACAGCACATTGGCACGAGGGCTAGAAAATAAGCCAAGGGAAAAAAAAAAAACCCCACAACCCCAGCAACAACTTTGTCGTGGCTTTGCTTGTTCAACGTAGCTCAGCCCTGTGCACACGCATGGGCCATCTGCTGTGTTGTAACTGGGTGTAACTTCTGACCTACTATAAACGGGGTTTAAATATTCTTTACAGGCGAGGGTGGGTTTTTCTTGACCGATTACAAAAGTATTCTAACAGGCCGATGCGTGCCAGACCTGTTAGTGCTACAGCACGGCTGAGCTGCAACCAGGTGTGCGGTTGCGGTGGGAACTCCTGTCCGTAGTGTCGGCAGGGGCGGCGCCAGG